TTGCCTACCTAATTCGCATTTAATTTCCTTTGATAACATGAATGAGCATAAAACAAAAGTTTAAAAACTAAAACTATGCAACAAATATTAGTTTAAGAATAGAAAAATGAGCACAAAACAAAAGCTTAGGGACAAAAAAAAAAAAAAAGCCAATTGTACAGCTTTAATGAATGGATAAAACTGATGGGAAGACAAAAAAAATGCATTTTTCATAGTTAACTGATGAAAAAATTATAAAAATAGTTCAGAGACTAAAATTGGTCAAGATTAAAACTTGGCAAAAATGTGATATAAGGACCCAAACTTGCACAAAATTCGCAATTTAAGACCCAAACTTCAATTACGCTCAATTAAGACCCCAAACTACATGAAATTCTCCAATAAGGCCCCAATTAGGTGGAATATTCTCTTGATGGATGGAATATTCTCTTGCATGCAAAAATCCTTGATGCCAGTTAACAATCAGTCATTCTCTTAGTCAGTTGATTGCCTGTGGAAAAAGTGTTGCGTTGTCATTGCCACGTGGATGCCACGTAGATGGCACATGGGTGATTATAAGAGTTATTTAGAGTCTATTAAGAGTTCCAACCGTGTTAAAGAAATTTTTTTTGTGAAAGATCAAGTGAGAGTTTTTGTGAGAAATTAGGGATTCATAAAAGAAATTGGGATTGAGTTTTTAATATTGTAACTCTTTCTCAATAATAGATTTTTCTTCCATCTCCATGTCTTTTCCCTCATTTGGAAGGGTTTTCCAAGTTAAATTAGGCTTTCCGCTTTTATATTATTTTACTTTGTTATTTAATCCATTTGCATAATTTTATAGTTATGTTGTTAATCAATTGGTCTTGGTGATAGTTAAATTCCAGCAACAATATCAAAGCTACGAGATGGGGATTTATCGCTAACAAAAGATTCTAATGGCTTTATTCATCCATTTATTTCAGTACAAACTCAAAATCTGCAACATGCCTAAGTGGATTTGCAAAGACAGAAGGAAGTTTGACCAGGACTCAACTCTTTGCAAAATCCACCCAAAGGAAATTTATTGTCGAGACAGTGCTGGTTGCAATCCTTGAACTGGGAACATGGCCCCTGGGGGATGAGCTTTTCCTCACCTGCAACACCCATAATTCCCCCTGCAACAGTACAAAACCATTTATATAATTAGTCTAAGTAGTTTTCTTTATTGAAATGCATAGAAGGTGCTTTCGTATAAATTAAAATAATTCTAATAACATTA